CATGTATCTCAGCGTAATCCCTGTAATGTGAGTGTTGAGGATATGCTCTGGATGGCTGCAGCATCCTGACTCCAGCTGTTGCACAGTGTGTTGTAATGCTTTATGTGTCTTCAATTGCTCTATGTATGTAGTATGTGTAATGGGGTTGGATTACCATTGATTATAATGATGCTGATACACCTTGTGTCATGTGTATGAATTTAAGAAGGCATGTGGCAGGTACCTGAAGGCCTGGTCTAGTTTGTTTGGAAGTAAGCAATCGTAATTATGATACAATGATTTATAGCTGAAGGTTATTCAACAATATGTGTATTATTAAAGGGGGCGCTGGTGGCCCAGTTGGCAAATGTTGCTGTAATAAGCATGCCAGATTCCTATCATCACAGGTTTGAATCCCAGTTTTACCATGATTATGATTCTTGGTTCCTCAGCGCCATACCTGTGATCGACGACGCGTTGATTTCACCAAAGAAGATGTAACATCTTGAGACCTTTATCACTTTGAACTTGCATGCCACATTAACATGATTTAGCTAACATGCCGTGACATTTTTAAGATCTAACTTATTCTCTCAACATGCTGAATGATTAAATTACTGCTACAGTGGAAACCCGCTTATCTGGACCCCAGATATCCAGAAACCTCGCCTACCGGACAATATTTACTACATAAAATGCTTTATTTAGCCGGAATCCTGGTTCCCCGGATCCAGAGAGTGAATTTCAATTACCAACAATTTTACTGGGTATAATACTCCAATAATCTTATAGAGGTTTGTTTGCCTCAGTAGAATGTGGGTAGAGGAGGGAACAGACAAGGGATTCATATATCCAGACCGTATTTGAGAAAATGCAAGTGTTCTGATAAACAAGGTTTGACTGTATATCCAAAGCATGAATAGCTATGTATGCAATATTTGCTGCTGTCTGCTTGCCTTGGGTGGAAGTGAAAGAGCTGAAGTATGTACATGATGTAGGCCAGAGTAACAGCTGTTGTGGCACATCAGACAGATAATTGTATTACCATTTTAATGTATTCAAAACAGTATCACAAGTACCGGTATACCAGCATTTGTTTCATGCCTGTAGTATTAAGTATAATAATTTAATGGCAAATTCATTAGTTCTGAGTATTCTGTTATCAGAATGGTTTATGCATCATATTAATTGTGTATGAAGTGTGATGATAAAGAAAATGTATTGGAATTGTATCACAAATACAGTCTTGGCTAAGCAGTTTAGGTTTCTGGACACAAAAGTCTCCTTTCTCATCTTTTCTGACTGCGTGCATGTTGGATGTCATTAAATATACACAATAGCCTTTGCAGCGTTAGAAATTAGCACTTGTCCTATAGTCCTTGCCAAACTGCCCAATAGTAAAGGTATCCTAAGGACTAGTAGAAATTTGACGTTTTTAAAGGTTTTGCTATATGTTATCATTATAAGGACTAGTGGACTGAAACTGTTAGTTTCTACCGCTGCTTTGCTGAACTGTCAACTCAGGCTTTGGACGAGTTGCTAAGGTCAGTAACTCAGTTTGATGTTGAATGCAGCACTTCTTAATATGCCAGCTACAATACTGCATTGTAAATGACAATGTTTTAACCTGACAAACCAGTGATTGAAATTATGAGCAATATTCCACATTGATGGGGGTACGATGACATGTTATCAACCAACGTTCAAATCACAAAGCCAACCTCATCCATTAAGTTACCTCCTGTGACTAGCATTGGTTGCTGGGGACCAACATTCTAGCCCGGAATCCCTAGTGGGAAGCATAGTGATCCCTCGCTACCACGATACCTTCGGGGTACAAATAATTGATGAGAGTTATAGACGATCAGCAGTGTAACCAAGGTGGAATCGTATGGGGGAGATGACCAACAAAGCAGTATACATGCTCTGCCTACCTAACGCGATCTACGTTGCTCGTTTCAGAGTTTAGATTAGAATAGTAGTTGTTTATGATTCATTGTGTAAAAAAAAAGATTTATCGAGTGTTATGCGCTTTATAAAAAACACAATCATATCCCTTCAGCGAATTCAGGTGAATAAACATGTATAACAAGCTTGGTCAATAAAAATATGAAATTTGATATAAAGTCTAAAAGCTAAAGGTGGTATGGAGAGAACAAAGAGTGAACTTCTTTGCCATGTTTACAGGAAGATGATGTATGGGCAGTGATTTTGCAAGAAACAGATTTTTTAAGACATTTTCATGATTTTAGCAAATTTCTATATCATTATCAAAATTGCAAAATGTCACAGACTTTAGGCTATTTTGGATGACAATTTGTCCTAGTAATTGAACTAATGACATTTGGCATCTATAATTAGGGGTAGGAGGAGAGGAGTATTCACCTATAGATTATGACATCACTTTAAGTAGTGTTCTAGTTGTACCTGTATGCCTATGTGGTCAATGGGTCTATTGTTTTTTAAGTTAATAACTAGGTCCTTGATTTAGCTACTATTGCAGAAAATCCAATTTCTAACACTGACCTTGTATATTCATGAGAACAAATGAAGCATCCAAACGTTACAGTAGCAGCAATTAGTTTCAGTAAATAATGATTGTGAACACCAGTGAACATGGTAAATGACAGTGTTAGGCCTGTACCATGGCAGTGTGGAAACAATGAGTCTGACATCACAATTTATTTACAAACAAGAGGTTGATAGCATGTGCATCAACCCCACTGCCAAGTACAATGACAAACAATCAGCCAATTTACGTATTAAAACACTTCATCACCTTTTAATCACAATTTACCAAATGGGTTACTTGTGATCTATTCTGCATTGGAATCCCAACAGACCTTCAAACCTTTTTGAAATGATCACATCATATGAATGTAATAGAGGCTCCTGACACTACATTTGATTGATTAAGTCATGATGAGGCCCGTACATGATGATGTTCTGTACTGGAACGAGGTCTTGGACAGTCATTCCCAACACTCACAATATATATTGTATGGGTAGTTTAGCATGTTGAGGTAACTCATCCCTTGTGTCCATGAGGCTCCTTTAGTCTGAGCAGGGATGATGTTTCTCCGTATTCACCATCAGCTAAATATATTTGTACTTAATTCATTGTCTCATATAATGTTTTGAAGGAAAACAGGAACCAGGCTTCCATTATTCCTTTGTTCTTCTGGGAATGTGTCCCTGAGAAGGGAAATCTCATCATATGCCATCTTAGTTATTGATCTCTAAAGTGTATGGGCTATTACAGAGTTATGAGGCTGACGATTTTATCCCGTAGTGAAGGACACTGGTGGGTTTAATCAATCTTATCGGTCATATTGTCCATCACACTGGGTTCAGAGAGACTCCTTGCTTCCTAAAAGTCTGCCATTAGCATTCCTGTGGTTTCTCTACATCCTAGCAGTGTCTTGTCATATTGTTTATATGCTTCATAAATCCATAACGGGGAGCTGCTGGGGAATGAAGTTATCTTCTTGTAACTACCCTGTATGTCACCATTGCCATGTTTATTGATGCACGTTCTAGGCTTGTGTTTGTATTTAGTCTGGTCATTGTTTGGAAAGGCTTATTTTAAACATTTACATATTTCAGTAAAGACAAGATATTATTATCCTTTACAACTCTATGTCAGGATCTATACCAAAACTTCACATCATAATAGAATAAAGAAGTTGTCATCCATGAGAATGTCCTGTTTTTACTGTTACCAACTTCTGAAAGTAAAAATGCCAAACAAACAGTTCACCTATCTATTTCCTTGACAACTGACTTTAGTTTCACATCCAACTGACACATCGGTGTTATGACTGCTGTTAATGGTATGATCATTCATTTTCACATGTTGATTGTTCATTGTCATGTGTTGATTGTTCAGGGTCACGTGTTGATTGTTCTGTTATCACATATTGACTAAACTGTTAACGTCTTCATTTGATGGATTATCTTAATGTAATGTAGGTTAAAAGTCAGGTAGGTATTACTTTCAGTGTATAACAAATATGTGACTAATATGGCGCTGGTCTTGTTGACTGGTGATTGAGACCAAATTGACAATCAGGGACCAGGACAAACTGTTAGGATATTTATTATCATTATCAAAGTAACAGTTTAAGATACTAAAAATCACCAACGCTCGCTAAATACAATGTTTATATTCCTAATACAGGATGTTTACCATCCCAAAAGATACTCACGTGATAACGTCTATATGTCCACTAGCCTGAGACTAGTAAAATTCAGGACAGGTGACATTTCCTTGTGGACAACCTCTTTACCATAAGGTTAATGGCACCACTGTAGCAGATCATTTGGTGGACTGGTGAAAATAATTATTTATTTCAAACTCTGATGCATGTTGTGTATTGCTATGTTATCTATAACTGGAACTGCATTGTCAGATTGTAGATGTGAAACAGTAAATCACTGATAGAAACTAACATTTTTAGTCCACTAGTCCTTATAATGATAACATATAGCAAACCTCTTAAAAAGGGCAAATTTTTACTAGTCCTTATGATACGTTAACTATTGGGCAGTTTGGCAAGGACTGCAGGACTGGTGCCAATTTCTAATTTTGTATTCATATGTATTCATAATTTCATGGACATAATGCATTTTGCAATAATTATGATTGTGATGACTTATCCTTTAAAATCCTAAGTTACATATTTGACAACTTATGGTGATTTGGAACATACCCACAAGAATTGTTATTATTCATAAATCTGTCCTACAGCTCCTGTTCTGACATTAACATGTTGAATATGGATGTGATTTACAGCAAGGTTTCAAAGGACTTCCACATGTCAGTAGCTTCAGCACTGCATCACTATCTTTCTTCTTCATTGATAAACCAGTGTCTCCGAACACTTATATATAAATGCACAGCTTGCTCCGGCCACTCCCCCGCGGAACTCAACCCTGCTTTGTATAGTACAGAAATACGGAGCGAGCTTTTTCAATTAAGTTGGCCGTTGGAAGAGTATTGATTTTCCTATGGACCGACAGTAATGGTGGCTAGCGATAGGGAAAAGGCCTTTGCTTCATGCATCATGTTAGGTGTGTGTCCATAGTCGTCTTTCCGTTTTCTCTCAACTGCCACATGGTGTATTATGTGTAGATGTTTTCGGATCTATGTGACACTGAGATATGTATACAGGAAGACTGCTTGTCCATTGGAGGTAGGTATGTCTATGTAATGCTTCATCCATCAGTCAAGGCACATGGGCCTGTTTATAGGAGACTTGTATGGGTGATTATTTCTGTCAAGTTGTCTTTTATCTTCAATTACACAGAAGAGGCTCTGTCATGTGTCTGGGGAAATATCAAAGATGATGTATATGTAATGATTTCAGAAGGAGCCATGATGAATGTGTTATTAATATGACTGGGCAGTGATGGGTCAGTTCCTGTAGAGGTGCAATCAATGTGTACCTGGATCTTGCATGTCCAGATGTTCACAAGTCTATCAAGGTTAAGTGATATTGACAAGTGCACTCATTACCAGCTCCTCTGTCCAAGGTATTGATGGTCCCAGAAGGGCAGCCATATTCCTGCATGGATACCATGGTATTACATAAGGTGTATAAATAGTCACAGATGTTCTCATGAAGTTATTTATGGTGTTTGTAGTCACCATTGCTATGGTTTGGTTGGTTGAGCATGTTTACTATGTTCACTGTTAGTTTTATTCTGTTTATGTCAGTAATGTTAGCACTGAGGAGAGACCAACTTTGGTTATCGCTCATTACGTACATATGTTTTCTGGCAATATTCATGATACAGTGACAGTAATTTTTTTTTGTTTCAGAGTATTAATCAGAAAATGTTCCTTATTTCTGTAAAAACAAACTAGTGGTCCGAGGGATTTACTTGGGTCTATATATTTTCAAGTCCCGCGGACTTTCAGGTATGATCTTGCTGGCGACATGTGGCACTCTTCTTTAGATTTCCAATAATTCTCTTTATGTCACAATATCGTTCATGCTCAGAAGCCTATAATATTGGGATTTCAAAGTTTGATTGAAGAAAAACAATCATTGATACATTGCTTGAATAGAACTGTCAGTTATATGTAACATGCATTCTTATATTTGGATAGGTTTTCATTAAATTATGAATTATTTCCATCCATTGTCAATTTGTATTTGTAAATATGTTGCATCCAGTATATCCTGTAGTGGAAAAGATTTTAATTTCAGTATTTCTTTTCATGGAAACAAATTGTAGATTTAACTGGCCATGCTGATTGTGGGATTTGTGTTCAGAATTGAACTAAATACCAATATTTCTTAAAGAAACTTTGTGAACGACATAAAACATATTGATGAGGTGGTATCATCCTTAATAGACATTCACACATTACTGGTGTGATATATTTCAAGTATGCCTTCAAGAGCAGAAATGTACTTAAATGGAACATATGAACCTACTTGTACACTGATCCTGCACTGTATAGTATGCACTTCGTGTATTTAGCGTGTTTAGGTCCAAGGCATTTCATACAATAAACATTTGAACATTTGAATTTTGCCGTATTTTCTTTTTGAGGAATTTCGTATTTTGCACTTTCAGTATGTTCAGTATCTTATATGGCACCAAGAGGGCCATAAACTCTTGAATTTAAGCTTTCTTTCTGAAGCAGAAACAAAACTTCATACACATATCACCTTTGCAGATTAGGTAAAGTTTGAAGTATTGAATTTTTAGTCATTTCCAGAGACAGGTGGGTGAGCATGAGTTGAACTTGGCGTAGGCTGCTTTTGTTTCTGGAACTTATCTCAACATGCTCAGAATCATTGAAACATCATGCCTCTTGAGAAGGAGCCAGTCTGATACATCATCTTCTGATGACCAGGATTAAGTGGCGGATAGCAATAGTTTATCTCTCCTACACACAACATGTCTGCTTAGCATGCTGTTCCAGTCTGTGTTTATGTGCTTTATATATTTACAGTCCATCAAATAGGTAACATGAGTAAACAAGATAAAGTTGTTCCCATGGTGACAGAACTTGTCTAGACATCAGTGAGCCGGAAGATGGTCCATTGTCCCGTGTGTCTATATAACCCCATGTAACACAGACAAATGTGATGTAGAAGATGTAGAAAGCATTTGTAAGTTACTAACCAAGGTATGCTATGTTGCATCATGCTTTCTTGAGGAGTATTTCATGTCCTGGCATCAGACCTCTGATGATGATGATTATGATGATGATGATGATGATGATGATGATGATGTACAGATTAAAATAAAAAATGCAGCAAAGAAGGTTTGGGTGATCCTGGCACAGTCAGGATGGTTAGGCTCATCATCAGCTCAGGGCTCTTGCCCTCTACACGCAGCCCAGACAGCGAATTGGACTTCTCCCAGAAGGCCTAGTCAAACCCACCCAGAACTTTTTGAAAATGTGAAGACTCCCCAACACTTCAGACTTCTGAAGGTTTGTTGGCCTGGACAGGTCTGAGGCTGAATATGGGCCTATTCCAAAGAATTTTGTATTTATCATTTTCCATGACATATTATTGTTGTTGTTATTATTATTATATGCTGAAGAGAAAAAGACAGAACATTGTGAGAGAAATCTGAAAAGCCTTAATTGTTTATTGTCATTAATAGAAGTGTCATATTCATTCTGTTATTTGATAGGATTGAGCTTGGTTGAAATGTTTTCTTTATTTCAACACATTCAAATACCAAGTGTGGAATAATGCCTTTGAAAAACACATGTTGATTATACATGTTCTCAGCCTGCAAACAAGTCTAAAGCCTGAGAGTTTTATAAAATCACAGTTCCTTTTCTTTGGTTAAACTTCTTAAGGGACTGTAGTCTGTAGTATGATGTGTGTGTTCAAGCATAATATCCTACTTATGGTAATAACCTGTCAGTTTGATAGGAGCATGTCATGTGTAGTATCTTGGGGACTTTCACACGTAATTACAATTGACAGTTAACATAGTTACTGGAAATCAATTTGGTTTTGACTTGATGCTTGCATACCAATACTTATAATTTCATTGTCTGATGGCTTAATCTCAACATGCTCACAGGGTTAGAAACTAACAGTTTTGTCCACTAGTCCTTTATAATGATAACATATAGCAAAACCCTTAATATGGGCCAATTTCTACTAGTCCTTAGGATACCTTTACTATTGGGCAGTTTGGCAAGGACTATGGGACTAGTGCCAATTTCTATTGCTGGCTCAACATGAAGCATGAAGAGAAACTGTCAGTTGTCTCCTGGCACTGAACTGTATGCTTTCTGTAGCTTGACTTACTGAAGTGACTTCAAATATGTTATTGTCACAAATACCCCAGCAGATAGTTGTACCTTTTTGATATCCCCCAGTTTTGAAAAATGGGGGGGGGATATTGCAATCACCATGTCCATCCAGTTTCCCTTTCTGGAGCAGAACTGAATAATTGTTAAATAGTTCTTGTTGAAACTTTCTATATAGATCATGAAGTGTGTGTGTGTGTGTGGGGTGGGATCGTTTGTCATGCTTGGTTATAGTCAGTGGGTGATAATGTTAAAAGACTGATAGAATGCCACCATGGCCAAATTGAAGGCTGGCTTGAAGGTCATCAGTATTTATGATGTGAACCAGTTGAACAATGAAGCATGAATGGTGGAATGATAATTGATACAGACTTGAATGAACCCTGAAACTGAAGCTTAATGTGTTAATTATTGTTAGGTCACTGATGTTATTATTTGTTATGCCAGCTGTATTATGTTAACAGAAACAAGGAAAATAAATGATGATCAAGAAGAAAAACAAATAGAAGCAGCATAAGACAGCTGGATACTTCCTTCAGTAGGCTCAAGGACTAGTGATCACATGTTATAAACTAGTCTGTAAGATAATTCACTAGCCTGAAAACTTTCAGATTTAAGGACTTTTAGAGTAAAAAATCTTGGTATGATGCTAAGAGTTTAAGGAAGCCTTGTTCTGAATTCCAGATGTTCAGTGTCACTGTTGCATTTTGTTTCGGATCACAGAAATGTGAAAGTTGAACTAAGATTTTAATGCAAAATGATCATGTGTAATGACAGCAATATCTGTGATTCTCCACATATTTATCCTGAGTTTACTTGTGTGTACATTTATCACTGACTCCTTATAATAAACATTATCACAATGTACTTTTGTGAGAGATTTTATTTCTATAAGTGTACTCTTCCGGCACCAGGAATTATTTTAACTGAGCCATTGGCACACTAATACAAGGAATTTCAAATCCTGAATCAGTGGATTCAGATAATTTCATGCTATAGACAGGTTCATGCTGGGTTCTAAATCATGCAGATATGTGTGCTTCCAGCATGCACAAAAGTGTCAGTGGATGCACAGGAAAATAAAGTTTGCTTCCCAAGGGACACACAGTGGTATTCTTTGTACTAATTCTTGACAAGAAATATTAGGGTCCTGTAATTAAAATGATTATTAAATTATACAGTACAGTCTGCTACAATATTCAAATACTTTACAGGATCCTCATATGTTCTGTAAGACCCTGAAATTAAATATTAGGGGTCCACTTGGTTATGTTTCTAATTGGTCACAACCAGAACCCTTCCTTATATCTCTCCTTGATTATATGAGGACTGGCTATTCATGGTTCTGTTCAGTTCTGATATTCTCTGAGAAAAACCCACCACTGGTGGTACATGAGAAAAACATATAAGTTAAATTCATATATGATAATATATTATAATAATAATAATAATAAAAATACATATAGAGATTGAAAGTTTCAAGGAAATATGCCAAAATTAAAGTCACAGGAATCTCTTACATAATTTTTAACCGCTTCAACATTTCAAAAATGGTATTCATGAATTTAGACAACTTTAGAGATCTTCAGATATGCACATAGACCGTGACTGAAAAGGTACCTATCAAAACTTGTCACTAACCGTTGGAAACTACATAAATTACACAAATGTTCCTCTCGATATATCAGACCAGCATCTGGTTTCAATTGGTAAGTTATCGGGTTATCAGGTTGTCAAATATTTCACAGAGTCACTGTTGTTTAATATTTTCTTAACAAATGTTGTCCATGGAAGTTTTTCAGAGATGCCAGTGTAGTTATGTGTGATAAATTTATAAATAATGTTTGTTAATTTTGGAGTTTGATAATAAATTGCCATTTTATATCAGAATAGAATAAC